TATACCAGAAATATATAGCACAAGATTTTGCATCGCCGCTCATCTCATTAGCGGGGATGCAAAAAAAAAAAAAAAAAAAAACTTATTGCCGCTCATCTCATGAGAGGCGATGCAAAAAAATTTTTTTTAAAAAAACCTTCGCCGCAAATCATATTTGCGGCAATGGTTTGAAGGAATTAAAAAAAAAAGGAAAACTGAAGCAACTCAAAATAAATAAAAATTAAAATTATTTTTACTTGAAACCGCACGTCGGAGTTGCGGCGACCCCTAATTAAGAATCCTGCCTCGAACAGCACCAATTTTGTGATGATTTTTAATTTCAGCAATATTCTGAGAAATTCGCCTCTTTAGGGGTGTCATGAAAGGGTGTTATGACAAGGGTTCAAAACATGCTATGAATTTCTAGAAATTTTTGTTAAAAAACGTATTGTATTAATTTGATATATGTGAGATAAAAAGGTGATTAAAAAATATGTTTACAGAAAGCATATAAAATTTTTTAAAACAACATTTTGCTGTTGTGGGAAGACCACGCCCAGTGTTAATAAATCCAACTATTTGATCACATCATGTTGTTTATTTTATGTGGTAATTTCTTTAGTCATTCTGCTTGTGTGGTTGATTTTTGGGGTGTTTTCACAAAAACAAATTTATTGTAGCTGCTTTTTTTGGTGTAAACATCTTGAGCTTAAAATGGCTGGTGAAAAATGTGTTTTGAAATTTTCCAAAAATATTTGAAAACAGGTCCAAACAAACAAGCAGAACGAAATTTTAATTTTGTCAAAATCATGATGTTAGAGACGTAAGTATGTAACATGTCTGGCCCAAAACTGCCTTTATCACCATCTAATTGAAAATAAGAGCAAGTAAATTAAACAAAGAGAAAATTGTACCAGCCAAAACAAATCCACTTGAAAATACATTTTGGCATGGTGACTTTGTGTTTGGATAGAAATAATTTGTTAAAAAATTATTTACTTGCATTATAAAAATATTTTTCAACACGTTTTTTTGATTCAAGACCAAAACAAAACCTTATACTAATTATTGTGAAAAAGCATACTTACATATCACGCTAATTGATTAAAAAAATATTTAATTTGGTCTAATTTATTGTCAAACCCTGTACATTGTGAGCTTGGAGACCATCCTATTTTTGATCCTCGATTGTGGTTAATAGAGGCTAATTGTGCATCACTCTGGTCATATGGGTGTTTTGGGAGTCTTTCCCCAAACAAATTTACTGTGGTAACTTTACTGATACTATTGATAAGGACACACCCGATGTATATGCAATTTAGAAACAATCACTTTTTATATGGAAGAATTTTATTTGATATAAAATTTTCATTAACAAAAAAATAAACTTTGATTTTTTAAACGTTTTTTTTAATAAAATTTTAATTAACTTGGTGGTTACAAATGTTTGTGAGTGGTTATGAGTGAAAATTAGTTATGGTTACATTAATTGGGAATATAAAAAACATATGATAATATGGCAAATATATAATTTAGTAATTGTAAGGGTAAAGTTAAAAATTCACAAAGTGTCAAAAGGATTTTACTCCATACTCAATGCTCTCCCTAAATATATGTAGTATAGATATACATCTTGAGATAGATCAAAGAAGTGTTTGAAATTTCTAAAAAGTAATTGGAGATAGAGCTCTGTTTGGATTGTAAATTATTTGAGATATTTTTACTGTAGCACTTTTTGTGATGTGATGTCTGTGAGATAAAAAGGTAATTAGGAAAATAAAAAGGTGCGTTGGAAATTGTAATGATGATGTAAGCAAATAAATTTTAGCTAATAAATCTCTATCCAAACAAACCCAGAGATTCAAACAAACTGAACCACTCACAAAAAGAACAACATTTAAGTACAAGGGAAAACATATACTAAGTAGCTAGCTAGTTTGCTAAGCATCAAGGAATTAAATTGGTTGCAGGGGACCATATGTGTGTAAGCCTGTAGTATTCATTACATAGGGTTTAACCTTGTTGGAACGGTTCTCTCAAATTCTTTTCTTTTGTGAGAGTAGAAGTAGAGCGAAAAAAAAAAGTATTAAGTCATGGGCTAAATACTAGTAGTGTTATTTTTGTTTCACTTAATCTTAGTTTTTTTTTTTTTACCATGTACATATGAGCCTCTCAAGTTCTATTTATAGGTAATATAAAAATAGATTTATGCATGTAATCATGCATATAAGCTCATGAATTTAGAGTAACATGAATAAAATAATGAATCCCATAAAATATATAAATGTACCCATGTTTCATTGGAATAGATCAGTGTAAAAATGCATTCAAAGAGGAATAAATGCATCAATGTGTTTTGAAAGGATGAATAATGGACATCTACATTTCCTCAACTTCATAAAGAAACTACACTTTAACATGGTGACTTTGATATTTGATACTGCTCCTTTTGAAAATACCCGGCCATTTGTTAAATTAAAAGGCCACAAAATTCAAAAATGTCATCTAGGAACAAGCCAAATTCAAAGAGAAACTGAAATGAATGTGAAAGCTAAATAAAATGAAAGAAGCTCGAACGATTATTTATAGTATAGTCAAAAGGCTTCATTTGAATTAAGAAATTTGATGAAAAATTTGAAACCCTCTCAAGGCGCTCGAATTGTCTGAATTACTTACTAAGTTTTTGAATTTGTAATTCGCCAATTATCTAAATATATTGTAAATGTGAAATGATTAGTGATTTACAAATTTAAATACCTTATAAAAATTTTAAGTAATTAGAGGGATTTGGGAATATTTTAAATATTTTATCAAATCTTTCAATCCAAGCGTAACTTAAATGTCTTTTAAATTTCCCAGGCCAATTAACAACTGAAACGTGGCAAAAATATAAAAGGTCGTCAGGCATGACTCTGACGGGCATTCGTGATTGGACAGTCTATGGTGATCCGATGTATCCTTCATACATCATCAAAGTGCACTTTTTTTTTCTTTTTCTCAATTTTTTTTTTTAGAAACAAAGTAGTAGTTTAATAATAATACTTGTATGGAAAAAGGTAAAGAAACTACTTTTGATTTCTTAAAAGTATATTCTAATTTGACTAACTGAAAGTACAGGATGGGACCATATGTAACATTTCATTCTTTTTCATCTCTATCCTTTTCTTAAATCTACAATGTAAGGTCCAAACAATTGTCCCTTTTTTCCCAAGCATCTACTGTTGCGAGTCTTGTGCTTCTGTCACGTATACTGAGAAAAGATAAGCTACTTGGGGGATAAGGGACAATTATTTTACCTGAGGTAAAATTTTTAACATCAATAATATGTTTCCCTTAGCTGCAATGACAAATAACACATATTGTCATCTGCAATATGTTTTTGTACACAAGATATTATAAATTAGGGTTAAATACAGAAAATCTCCTCGAACTATTGCATTAGTTGCATTTTGCATCTAAACTATTTTAATAGGCACTTTACATCTGAAAATAATAAGAAAATTAACTCCATCAAAGTCATTGATGAAATGACCAATTTATCCTCTACCGAAAGCTTGTAAGTCACAAAAATAAGTTTTTCGTAGAAAAATTGTCCCTTTAAATGGATTAATTTTCACTTCATGATAAAATTCTAATTGAAAACATGTAACAATAAAATATGTGAGCACTTTGAATGACAATTAAAACAAAAGAAGTAGGCAAACAAAGAAGATAGGGAATAAATTCAATTCGAGAATCTTAGCAATCCTATTTTACTACATATTTCAAGTTAGCTTAGGTTAGAAAAGATTATTATCAACGAAAAGTAAATAATTTAGGTTTTTTATTGAAATTTCCTAGTCCAATATTTTGTTTACTAATATGTGGGTTTTAATTTCATTTCAGCATTGAAATTTTATTGCAATTATTGTGCTAAATTCATACGAAAATTTTTGGATTCTACTCCCATTTTATTCTTGTAAATATTTTAATGAAATTTTGCAGATTAGATGAAATTATGATGCATTAAAGAAAATTATGAGATTAAAAAATTGCAACTGTGGTCTCTCAATATTTCCATATTTTGCTCCCATTTTGACCCCAATAGTCTCAATTTTCATTCAAAATGAACAAGCATTTTTTATGTGTTTACAATTCGTTCTTTTGGTGAAAAAGTGGAAATAGTCTATTTAAAGTAGTAATCTTTCCCAGCAAAATGTTACTTTTGTCACTTAAGTTTTTAATGTAGGATAAATTTGTCATTTCATTAATTACTTAGATGAAATTAATTTTCATATCATTCTATAGTTGACTAAAGATGTAAAGTACCTATTAAAACACTTTAGGGTATAAAGTGCAACTAATGTAATAGTTCATGGGGGTTTTATGCCTTATATATTAGTAAATAATATAACAAACGGATAAGCATCAATACGTGACTACTTTATAAAGATAAAAAAAGATAAAATTAAAGGAGTAAATTTTTTACCTCAACCCAGTTATATAAATAAAGAGTTTTACTAATTATCTTATCATAAAGAGTTTAAGTAAGAATATAATGCTTTTGAATTATACAAAAAAACAATCAACTTGACCACTGCAAATATATATTGTGTATATCTTATCCTTTTATAGGAAATTAATATTTTTTTCAAATTAATTGCTTCCAACTCTACAAAGATTAATTACTGCGAAAATAGCTTACACATTTTAATCATTAATAATTACATGTTTTTACTGCACCTCACTAAAATCACATCTTATTACAAGGATTTCAAATGATCTTTTATTATATACTTTTATTCAATTTATTGTAAAAAAAAGTAGTAAATTAGTTTTAAAATTTCTGTGCATTTGACAAGTTCAAATCTTCTTTTAAATTCGCACTGCACCTCACTAATTTTGTAGAGTTTACAACTACTTTTAAAATTAAAACGGAATATTCATCAGGGAGATATTAGTGATATAATAACTGGTTGGACAGACAGGGGATGGAAAGTTCCTCGTACAGAAGATTCTTTGCTTGCTCCACTCAACTTCCTTACCACCACAAGACAAACAACAGGAACGCTAGTGTAGAGTGTGTTGTGCCTTCATAGTAGGGTGTACCATGGCTGATCGAAGCATTGCAGAAAGCGACAATTTCTTTATCCTGTTTGTGGAAAAAGGTTGACTTGGAATTGACTCCATCGTGCTCGTGAAGTCTTTCTTCCACACAGAACACTCACTTGCATATTAGCAGTCTATATAGTGCAAACACTACACAGAGAGCTTTCATCAAATGCAACCATCAGTTTCTTTTAAGCCTTCAACCAGTGTGTGCAAATTTGTGTGATCACTTCTCCTGGATTTGTGAGTTTCTCCTTCTCTTTCCCTTTGGTATGCAGAATTACAGATAGAAAGTAACCCTCTTGCATTTACTTTGATCAAGGCTTTTTTTTCCCCTTATTCTGAGTCTATATTCTGAGGTGTTTCTTTTGTGGATCATTTCTGTTTGATGTTTAATGCATTTTTGGGAAATAATCAGTTTTTTTATGGGATGTTATTTTCCCCCTGAAAGTCTTTTTTCCCAGTTGGTGGGATATGGTGTTATTTAAGTGGTGATATCTTAAAAAGATGGAATCTTTCTAGTGTTTTGGTTGATGGGGATTAGCAGTTTCACTTGAATTTGGGGAAAATTTTTTTTGCCTTTTTTATCTTGTTTGCTGGCTGTAGAATTATTTTGTAGCTACAAGACAAGTGAAGGAAAGAGAAATCAGAACGCTCTGAGGTGGGCATTATACAATCAGAGGCGTTGCACTTTGGTCTTTTTTGTTTTCAGTCGACATTAGATCCCTTCTTGAAGTATTAGATTTCGTATTATTTTGCTATTAAATTGAGAGAGCGCTCTTGTGGGATAAGCAAAGTATTTGACTTTGATTTCTAACTATTTCTTGTCAGGGATGTATTTTACTTGCCATATTTGATAACATTTGGTGGTAACTGTAAACTTTACCATCCTTTGTTGGAATTCTTTTGGTTTGATTTTTAACGCATAATTTGGAAATGTTGTTACGAGTGTTTTTCTGGGATTCTTGTCTTTCCTTCTGTCTTTCTTTTATTTTTTGGTCTGAAATCCCTTTTGGCAGTTTGTCTGAAATGTTGTAAACATTTAATCGGAGTGGCAATATCTGAAAAGATGGATCTTTTAAGCGGTTTTGTCATTTGTATGTGTAGCTCAGAATCTGGCAAAAATGAAGAAAGCAAACAAGACCTGTTATTTAATCCTGCTTTTACTATTTTATCATTCCTCTGTCATTTTAGATATTTTGTTTGTAAAAAAAAAAAATGATTTATTGTTCATCATATTGGATTAGTATTGATCCCTGTCTTGAGTCTTAACTGGAAAATCCTTAATTACATATAGTATGATGGCATGATCTGTGAATTTTTATCTCGTTCACAGTTCTAATGTGTAGTGGATTTGCAAATTTGCGGCATCTGCATGGTGATGAGTCAAAAGGTCTCTTTTCTTCCTTGGTTTATGCTTCTATTGCAGGCTTTCTTTTGTTGGCTTTTAGACTTGGAGGGGAAGAAGCAGGAAGCTTTATCTTAGAAAGTTTGAGGTTCTATTAGGTCTATTATGCTGGTATGATCTCTTAGTGGATTGGATCCTTGGGTATCCAAACATGATACGAAGCAAATTGGATGGTCAATGGTAAAAGGAAAAAAATTAAAATAGACGCCTGCATATTGCCAAAATGAACTGCCTTAGCTTCTCATATTGACAAAAATTGAGATGGTAATGTCAAAATGGATTCTGGATCTGCATATCTCTTATCCTTCTTGTGCAATTACATATTCTCTGGCTGCATTTCTTTCAATGGAATATATATCAGTATATGTATGTGTGAGGCTGTAAAACAACAATCTTATTAATAGCCCGTGAATAGTTGTCTGACTCTTTTAATTTCTGATATTTACAGGAGAATATAGCTGTTGCATTCTGATAAAAAATCTGTTAACTGAATTAGTGCTGAAGTTCATCTGCATGGGAAAGACAATTCAGGTGTTTGGTTTCCCTTCTGTTGTGCCTGCAGAAACAGTCACCAAGTTTTTGGAATGCTTTACAGGTCAGGGAACAGTATATGCTTTAGAGGTTAAGCAGTCCAAAGGAGGAAATAGAGCATATGCTAAAGTCCAATTCACAAGCGATAGAAGTGCTGAATACATTATGACCTTGGCAAAGAAACGCCTTAATTATGGTTCTTCATATTTGAGGGCTTGGGAAATGGACGTGGATTTGGTTCCGAGAGCTAGATCTTTCGAGCATAACATGGAGCAAATAGTTTTACACTTTGGATGTCAGGTGTCAAAGAATAGGTTTTCAGTGCTACGGAATGTTCCAAATGTCTCCGTCAGGTTTGGGATTGGAATGAGGAAAATGTATTTTATTTTGCGGTTTCGCTCTTGTGACTACAAGCTTGAATTATCCTATGAAAACATATGGCAGATTGTACTACATCGACGTAGTCTAGCACCAAAGTTTCTCCTCATACAGGTTTGGTTGTTCAAATGAAAGATATGATGTTTTCTGTTGGTTATACATCTTTGATCACTTTTGATTTCTTAATTTTTGGTCTATGTTTCACTGCACAACTCTAGCACATTCTCCTTCTGCCTCAATATGGTAGTTTGGCTTTAATCTGTGACATCAAAGCTAGCTGGCCTTGCATATAAGTTCTAAACACCGGGCTGTAATCTGTTCCAGTTTCCTTTTGTTGTCAATCTCACCTGTCAAATTTGTATTGTTTTAGGTCTTTTTCCATTATGGTACAATGGTTCTTTCCTCTGATCACTCGCTAATTAAATAAAAATGCTTGTCAGTTGAAATCTTTTTGACTTGCTTTGTCATTGTATTTATCAATAACTGGATTCTGTTTTTACTTTGTGTGAGCAACTGACAAGCATCTATCACCTGTCCATTTAAGCCTGGAACATTGTGGTCTTTAGGTTGCTAATTGCAATTCATATAAAGTATAATGTCGCTTGGAAAATATAGGTCAATGATGGGGCTTCTAAAGTAATAAAGATGTAAAAATGAAATGCATGATCATTATTCTTAAAATAGCCATTGCAAATTTGAATTTGATTTAACTGCTGTTTTTAAACTGTCTTACCAACATACATGCACCATATCATTCTTTTCTTGCTTTTATTTATTTATTTATTTGGGTACTCTGTGCTTGACTCTGAGCAAGCTTTCTTATAGGGGAATCAACGTGCATGTGATTCCTTATTTCTAATAAATACTCTCAGATGATACGGTGCATATGAATAAACTTCTAGTATTGGTAGAGAAACATAGCTGTGCTGTTATTATATTTCAATACAGTAACGTATTCTCTCTCTTTCTCTCTCTCTCTCTCTCTCGCAATATACAGTTGTCCATAAATTGAACATTTGTGGGGATCATCTGGAACATAATTTAAAGTCTGCAAAGACCTTAGTCAGATTTCTTTTCCTACTCACCATCACATGAACTTATTGTTATGTCTTCAGTACTTCTTTTGAAGGCCTTTTGGATCATCCCTTATTGCTTCAGTATTAACCATGATTTGAACTTTGAAACCTATCCAAAATATGAAAGTTATTTGGTACATAACCAGCATGCATTTCTCCACTCTTTGTTTTGTTTTACAAATGAATTTCTGTTCCCTTTCTGATGTGGAATTATTGTTTGTGAGTTTGAATATTGACATATACACTTATGGCTTAGTTATTTGGTGCTCCTCGGGTTTTCAAAAAACTTGAAGAATCCACCTTTAGCTACTTTAAGGAAACTCCAGATGACCAGTGGGTCAGGACGACAGATTTCACTTCATCCTGTATCGGGCAATCGTCTGGTATATGTTTGGAGCTTCCTCATGGCATTCAACTGCCAAATTTGGGTGATTATTTTGCTTGGTTCAAAGAAAGTGACAGCCAATGTTTTCTAGAAACTGGTTCCCCCTATTCATACAATTTGGTTTTAGCTCCTATTCTGCAACCTCCCCAAGGACTATATTTGCCATATGGAATCTTGTTCAAGGTCTGTTGTTTAGTACAGACTGGATGTCTTCCAGGGCCATCACTAGATGCTAATTTCTTTAGGTTGGTTGATCCACGAAGAATAAAGATTAGATACATAGAACATGCCTTGGAGAATCTATACATGTTGAAAGAGTGCTGCTATGAGCCTGTGCAGTGGCTCAAAGAGCAGTACGATAAGTATGACAAGCTTCGGCAACTCCCTAAATCACCTACTCTTACTTTAGATGATGGGTTGGTATATGTACGGAGGGTTCAAGTTACACCATGCAAAGTATATTTCTGTGGTCCAGAGGTCAATGTATCTAATCGTGTATTGCGCAACTTTTCAGAGGACATAGACAATTTTCTTCGTGTTTCCTTTATTGATGAAGAGTGGAACAAAATGTTTTCTACAGACTTGTCGCCTCGTATTGGTGCAAATGAGAATGGAAGAACCGAAATTTATGAGAGAATACTGTCAACGTTGAAAAATGGCATAGTAATTGGGGATAAGAAGTTTGAGTTTCTTGCTTTTTCTTCAAGTCAATTAAGGGATAATTCAGTGTGGATGTTTGCTTCAAGGCCCGGGCTTACTGCTGCTGATATAAGAACATGGATGGGTGATTTTAGTAGGATAAGAAACGTGGCGAAATATGCTGCCAGGCTTGGTCAGTCCTTCAGTTCTTCCACGGAAACTTTAAATGTTGGTAGGCATGAGATTGAAATGATTTCTGACATAGAAGTAAGGGGTGGTTACTTCGGCACATCCAAGTATGTCTTTTCTGATGGTATTGGGAAAATGTCTGCTCAATTTGCAAGGCAAGTTGCCACGAAATGTGGCCTGAGTTTTACTCCATCTGCCTTTCAAATTCGGTATGGTGGTTTTAAAGGTGTTGTGGCTGTTGATCCCACTTCATCGAAGAAGTTGTCGCTGAGACAGAGCATGATGAAATATGAATCCGATAACACCAAGTTGGATGTTTTAGCATGGAGTAAGTATCAGCCTTGTTTCCTCAATCGCCAATTAATCACTCTTTTGTCTACCCTAGGGGTCAAGGATGTTGTCTTCGAAAAGAAGCAAAGAGAAGCAGTTGCCCAGTTGGACACTATTCTAACTGACCCATTGAGGGCTCGTGAAGCTTTAGAATTAATGGCTCCTGGAGAGAATACAAATGTTCTCAAGGAGATGCTGAAATGTGGCTATAAGCCTGATTCTGAACCATTTCTTTCAATGATGCTGCAAACTTTCAGGGCATCAAAGTTGCTGGACTTGCGGACTAAAACCAGGATATTTATACCAGATGGAAGATCAATGATAGGATGTCTGGATGAAACCAGAACCTTGGAATATGGCCAGGTGTTTGTTCAGTTCTCTAGTGCTGGGTGTAGGCAGTTTTATGATGATTCTATATCGTACTATGAGCACAAGAATATTCTTAAGGGGACGGTGGTTGTTGCAAAAAATCCATGCTTGCACCCTGGTGACATTCGTATTCTAAAAGCTGTAGATCTGCCAGCATTACATCATATGGTGGACTGTGTTGTTTTCCCCCAGAAAGGAAAGAGGTAAATATTATGTCGAGATCTTTTTTATGGTTTATGTGTAACTCATAGAGAGAATGTTTAAGTTTCTAGAATTGAAAGTAGCTACTTGAAGATGAATAGGAAATATGTAGGTAGGCTAAGATCCATTAGTTTCTTTTGTTTCTGTGATAACTGTTAATTGGTATTCTTCTACTGTTCTTTAATACCATTTAAGTCAAATAGGTTGGCTCTTGTGATTTTCAAAGATTTTAACCCCAACAAAAAGTAAAAGAGAATCTTCTCTTGCTTTGCCTAGTTACAGGTACGAAAGAGCAATTTACATTTTCCACACAAAAAGCAAATAGCAGATAGCTGTTCTTACGTGTGATTTGGTCGCATGACTACATTCCTTAGAAACTTTTGAGTGCGTAAACAATGTGATTTTGTTAAAGCTTGTATAACTCGCAGGTGATCCTGAATTATCGTTCACATCTGACATTATGGCCTTCATATTATGGTCACATCTTCTTTTAAATTGTGTACATTGTTTAATGGCGGACTAGTATCTTCTTTGTTGAGATGTGGCTATTTATGCTACTAAACAAAGTTTTCTTTAGATATTAAGTGAATACTAGGAAAACAGAAACACATACAGTTTTTTTCCCCTTGATAAGTATAGTGGTAATTTTACCGGAGCAGTATAACTTGATTTGGTTTCTTCAACCAAGCATTTCCTGTTTTTTGGTTTTGAGTTCAATTAGAAACCATTGGTTGTTTTGCATTGGTATTTGAATCTTATCTTAGTTCTTTTACAACATCTTGATTTGAATAGGGGAATGTCTCAAATTCCATAAATAAATCATTTCTGTCAAGGGAATAGATTTTTCTTTATGATATTTTTTGTAGGTCTGTGGAGCCTTCATTAGATTGTTCATGCAATCCAGCCTCACATGTGATGCCAACAGCTTTTTAAAAGTGACTCTTAGAAAATTCACTTCTCACCTTTTCCTTACTGTTTTGTGCAGTTATATATATACATCCCTAAGAGAGCATTTGTAATGAAGAACCTTAACAAATGAATATTTATTTGTGTTCCATTCTCACCATTACATTGTTTGCTTATCAATTTTATGGTAAAAGGGTTCATTCATCTCAGAACCAAAGTAAAATATGGGCATGTAGATAGCTTTTCTTGGCTAATTGGTATACTTATCTTAAAAGCAGTCAGGGATTATTTGATTCATTTAATTGTTGCATGTCTCATGTCCTGACCTAAGGTGTCTATTCCTTCATTACAATCTTCTACATTCAAGAGAGGCCTAAGAGATTTCATGCTGAATCACTTGGCTTGTTGCAAGTGAAGTTGAATGACTTCTTGGGTTAGGGCCTTAAGAGATACAAAACATCTTAAAATGTTGTGCTTGGACTGGATCTTGAGCTGTTTATTAGTGCATCCTAGACTTGTGGACTTTCCTCTTAAGATTTTTAGCACAGTCCTAATCTATTAATTAGAGTTAAAAAAAAGAAAGGATTACTAAACAAATGAGCATTAAGATCTCAGTTTCAGGGCCGGAAAAAAAAATCTGGCTTCACTATTGAGGTTCTCTTTTCAAATTTTGCTATCAAACAAATAAAGGAATCTGTATTATTACTTTTTGCCTGATATATTAGTGCATCTCTTGGGTCTTACTTGTTGCTAATCTTAAATAGCTGTTTAATGATGATTCTTGGGAAAGAAAAGAATGGATGCAAGATGATTTTGATATAGGAACTATTTGTAGCTGTTTAGGAAAATTATTGGGTAACAATATAAAAAACAGGGTCTAGAATGGATTAGGAAATGAACCTTTAAGAACAAGGAAGAAATAGTTTCTTAAGAACACGAGGAAGAATTAGTTCAGTTGGTTCAGGGTTCGGAAGAGTTGGCTAGTATGGTTTCTGTTGGTGAGTTTATGCTGTTTAAAATAAGGTGAATACAACACCTTAATAAACTTCTTTGTCAAGGCTGTATGTAGAAAAACTAGAAGACTGATAATCTGCATTTAGAAAGCTTGTAAGTACAGGAAATCTGGGAGCTGAAGGACAGGCATTATTAAGGCTTATTTTGCTGACAAAATATTTCTTGAAAACCACTCCTGTAACATGGATTAGGATATCTTTTGTAAAAGTAAATGATTGAACTTAAGGGTTCATTATGACATCTAATGTGCTTAGTAAAGCTCAATTTGGACAAACAAGGGACTTCTTGCTTGTTATGGGACCTTTAACCCACTACTCGGAGTACCCTCCCAAAAGAAAAAGATGTGTCTGTCTGGTTTTAAGCTTTTGAAGGCCCTAATTGGAATTTTGTGTAGGATATATCTAGTGTGCTTGATATCATGGTTTATGAATGTTTCTTTCTGATTCTGATGTCAATTACAGGCCTCATACAAATGAGTGTTCTGGAAGCGACTTGGATGGAGACATTTACTTTGTTTGTTGGGACCCTGACCTGATTCCACCTCGGCAAGACGAACCTATGGATTACACTCCAGCACCTACTGTGCAGTTGGATCATGAAGTTACAATTGAGGTACTAATGCTTTAGCAGATGTTAATTTTAGTAGCTATTTCTACTGGGGACGGAAGGTGGGACTATTGAACCCACAGCTTAATGAGTAGGAGACAAACCTTCTGTCTCCTTTCTCTTACTTTGATCTCTTTCTAATGAGTGATGGCTAATTATCAGAGCAGTGTAGTCTTGCCATTCTAGCAAATTCCCAGTGGTGCTGTTTTATGATGTACAAACATGGTTAACATCTATATATATGACATATAATTTTTAGTACGGAGCATGGCAGTACTTTCTTTAGTTATGCTGGCCTTCATCATCTTGCTTTATTCATACCCAGTTATTTGCAAATCTGTGCTGTGTTCTTCCTTCAATCTAATTTGTTTGACAGTGCAAGTTACTGAATAAATGCTTGTCTACGTTCATGTGGCGTATGAGTAGACACTACTACCTTTGACCTATTGCAGCCATGTAATTTTGTCCTATTAGATTTGTTTCTACTCAGTCTCCTCAGCTTGATCTCTTTAGATTGTTACAGAGATTCTTTATGTTTATGCATGACCAAAAATAAGTGATACTATTTTTCCATTGATGGTAAATGGTTGGAGCCTATCAATATCCTTTCTTAGCACCCGTAAAACTGCCAGTGGAATTAAGGACCTTTGATGATTTAGCAAGGGGACTGTGTTCCTTGTCTGATTTTGTCCTTTATCCTCTGCATACTTCTTCTAGCAAATAATGACTGGGACAAGCGGAAAAGTTCCTAATCCGCATTGAAGGATGCTAAAACCTTTATTATTCCTCAATCTAATATCTGTACGTACAATGGCAGGAACTATTATGTGTTTTCTCCTCGATCTTCTTAAACCATGGAACAGTGTTCACCACGGGCAAAGTGCTGTTTTAGAAAAATATGATGCTTCATTGCATTCTCATGCATATTTAGCATCATTGCAGCAAATATTCTTATGCAACATATGTTTTAGATAAACAATGATTTTTGCTTCTCTGCTGCAGGAAGTTGAGGAGTATTTTACTAATTATATCGTAAATGACAGTTTGGGAATCATTGCGAATGCCCATACTGTCTTTGCTGATCGGGAACTATTAAAGGCAAGGAGTAAACCATGTCTGGAGCTTGCACAGCTGTTCTCAATTGCAGTTGACTTTCCAAAGACTGGCGTATGAGTAGACACTACTACCTTTGACCTATTGCAGCCATGTAATTTTGTCCTATTAGATTTGTTTCTACTCAGTCTCCTCAGCTTGATCTCTTTAGATTGTTACAGAGATTCTTTATGTTTATGCATGACCAAAAATAAGTGATACTATTTTTCCATTGATGGTAAATGGTTGGAGCCTATCAATATCCTTTCTTAGCACCCGTAAAACTGCCAGTGGAATTAAGGACCTTTGATGATTTAGCAAGGGGACTGTGTTCCTTGTCTGATTTTGTCCTTTATCCTCTGCATACTTCTTCTAGCAAATAATGACTGGGACAAGCGGAAAAGTTCCTAATCCGCATTGAAGGATGCTAAAACCTTTATTATTCCTCAATCTAATATCTGTACGTACAATGGCAGGAACTATTATGTGTTTTCTCCTCGATCTTCTTAAACCATGGAACAGTGTTCACCACGGGCAAAGTGCTGTTTTAGAAAAATATGATGCTTCATTGCATTCTCATGCATATTTAGCATCATTGCAGCAAATATTCTTATGCAACATATGTTTTAGATAAACAATGATTTTTGCTTCTCTGCTGCAGGAAGTTGAGGAGTATTTTACTAATTATATCGTAAATGACAGTTTGGGAATCATTGCGAATGCCCATACTGTCTTTGCTGATCGGGAACTATTAAAGGCAAGGAGTAAACCATGTCTGGAGCTTGCACAGCTGTTCTCAATTGCAGTTGACTTTCCAAAGACTGGTGTTCCTGCTGAGATACCATCTCATCTACGTGTCAAAGAATACCCTGATTTCATGGAAAAGTCTGACAAGACTACATATGATTCACAGCATGTGATTGGAAAGCTTTTCAGAGAGGTAAAAGAGATTGCACCGCACACAAGTTCTATTAGATCATTTACAAGGGAAGTGGCAAGAAAATCATATGACATTGGCATGGAAGTAGATGGGTTTGAGGATTACGTTGATGAAGCTTTTGATTACAAAAGTGAGTATGATTATAAGTTGGGCAATTTGATGGACTACTATGGCATCAAAACTGAAGCAGAAATATTGAGTGGTGGTATCATGAAGATGTCAAGGTCTTTCGATCGGAGAAAAGATGCAGAAGCTGTTGGAATGGCTGTGAGGTCTTTAAGGAAGGAAGCTAGGACGTGGTTCAACAGGAATGGAGGTCACTCTGATGATGCATTTGCAAAAGCATCAGCATGGTATTATGTCACTTATCATCCTAGATACTGGGGTTGCTACAACGAGGGACTGAACCGGGCTCACTACATTAGTTTCCCATGGTGTATCTATGATAGGCTGATTCAAATCAAAAAAGCAAGGACAAGAAGGGCTCAGCAACCATCTTCACTGGAGGTGCAGTTTAATCATAGACTGAGATTGTATTGAATGAATAATTTGGCATCAAGAAAGTGTGAATTAGCTTTAATGCTTTTGGTAATGAGAAGACTCGGCAGCTCTACTAGTACTAGAGACTCTACTTAGGTGTGGCTTTCATTTGGATCTACTACAATACTGATTTATATCTACTGCTGTAAATTAATCAAGTTGTTGAGCGTGTACTTCCTTGTTGTCATGTGAATATATTTAGGGAATATGACAAGTACATCCCAGTCTTGAACTGGGAAACTTGCCTTGTTTCATATTCTGCTTCTCTGATGGCTGGAGTTAGATGTCCTTCTCTGAAATTTCTTTGCTTTTGACCCTCTGTTGATCTAGTTTGCAAAAGGTATTTGTTGTTGGAGGAAATGGTAAACGATTACTCCAGGATCTGTTTTCTATCACAGAATCAACTGGAACCGTCATTTGAAGGTTGGAAGCATGATTGCAAGCAGTCCAACTGGATAAAGGCATTATTCTCCCAGGTAACATCTTTGTGACAGATTTGCAATGCTACCATTGCAGCACACTGTTCCCTCTTACCATTGTAGTATGTGAAATCTTCATAAATATAACTTATGTTGTTGCCATTCATCTTCTACATACTGGTTCACAAAGTTAAGATCTTCAAGATAATTAGATGTAAATAAGGGATAAAATTCTACATTTTGTAGTTATGTTGACAAAAGAAATACTTGAGACTTCAAAATGTTGAATGTGTTTATTCATAATTAGAGCATCTCAAGCGTCCTTGTAATTGGATTGTATCTTGTTCATACTTTATTTAATCTCATAATTTTATGTCTAAACAAGGAAATTAATTTGAGCCTAATTATGACATTAAAAAGTTTAAAATGCATGACCAAGTAATGTGCATGTATCCAATATCCCATGAAAAAAAAAGAAAAAGTAATGCATGCAAGGAAAATACCAATTACACTATTCAAGTCATTAATTTCGTATATTTAGCAAATTAAATGGTAATCATAACAACAATTGATGGATGTGTAATACAATCTTCATTATACAATCATACCACTAATTGATGGACTTGTAATGCAGCCTTCATAATACAACATTAAAACTTTTGAGGACAGGCAATGAAAGAGGTTATGAATCATTTTTTCACCCTAAATTAAAATGTTGCCTCTCTAATCCTTTCTTAGATAACTCTCGCTGCAACATTGTGCCCAGTTTTTAAGAGTTTCCAAACTCCCAACATAATTTTAGTTCCGAAGAAGTTGTCTTGTGATCCCTTTGTGCCCATGACTATTTTTCCACAATTGCAGTTGCAGCCGTATGATGCAGAAGTCAATTTAATAATTCATGAAGCGATAGATGCTCTATTTACAATGATAAATTTAGTAACATACCACCGGTTGTAATTAGGAAGTTGGGTTTGAGTAAAAGATATTGGCTTTTATTCACGGTTGATTTAGATTTTACAAATTTTGATTACAGAAATCGATTATAAAGAATAATTAAAATTAGCAAAAACTATTCTTTAGGTGATTATATAATTTAGTTTTTTTAATCATTAAAAAAATCTATAATAAGAATAGCCGAAAATATCACAAAAACAAAAAATTGATTATCCAAAATCAGATTCTATAATCAATTAAAGTAATCAACTGAGAACACGTTCATTATATCCTGGCATACATACCCTTAACAATACAACCTTTTTTTTTTTTTTTTTTATAGATCCAAAAGCGTATAAACCCATCTGCGCTTTTATAATAGTATGGATAGCTAGGATTAATAACTGGTTAATAGAGTAAATAGAGGAATTAATTGTTTGATGAAATGTTTCCAAAGCTAATAAATACTGCCCTGTTTCTTCATACTCATTTTTTAGGTTCTCTAAATGAGGTAACTAAAATAGCAAGCCTCTCTTAAAAAAAAAAAAAAAAAAAGGCGAGCTGTTGAATCTCTCATACTGAAGGTAATGGTGATCTCATTGTTACTCCACCACTATCTTCAAATTGAATCCTAGAACCTTCTTTCTTTTACAAAATTGTCAAGGACAAGAACTCAATAGTAAAAGCTCATGAAGATACCAGATTATTTCAACAGGTTGAGTTCATACTAATTGTCTCTTGATTAAATATAAGGAAACAGACACGGTACGCATGTAAGGAACAACAAATATATGCTTCGATAAGGAAACTGTCTTCATGGATTTATTTGCGCTTCAAAGCAATGAAGAACAAGATTCCCTTCCTGTAACGTGCATTAAGATTGATAGGGTGCATCTTAGTGAGGTATTTTGGGTATTAATGTACGATTATTTGGCTAAATATTTTTATTAATTGGGTAGATTCTACTCATATATGATTTTGGTGTCAATTACAGGATTTGATGCTGAAAAGTACTTAAAATCAGAATTTAGAAGATTTATCGTACGTGGAGCCCGTGTGAGAAGCTGAAGAAATTAAAATTGTAATAGGCCTCATTTTATTTCATTTTAGGAGTCTCGTTTTAATCTGTAAAATAACAAATTCCGAGGGGGAAGAAAATTAATTTTGCCGCCTGGCTTAGGTTCTCTTTGCGGCTTGCTTTTAAAGAGGAGGGGGGCCGCAGCTTTAAGAAGAAAGAACCCCTCAGAGAAGAAAAAGCCATCGTGGTTGACTTTGGGATTCGTATGAGCTATTCATTAGCCTTGACCGAATTGAGGAATGAAACAATTGAGAAACCTTTTCTCTCGTATGTCTTTTGCTTAGCAATCAGGAGAAGAAAACAAGAGCCGCCGTTGTTGACTTATCTTGGCTTTGGTTTTTACTTTTGCTGAAGACAATTGAAGTGAACAATCTGACTTTTGTACGTTTGGGCTTTTGGAGACAATTGCGAGAAATCGAAATCTCTCGTTCTTGTCTACTGTTCTTGACCAAAAGTAAAAAGGTCCGATACGGCGACTTTTCTCAATTCTCCACGCACGGCTTATTCTCCATTAATGGAGGGCTAATTCTCTAATTCTAGTCGAGGGGCAATTGACGAATTGGTTCAATAATTATTGTGAGATCTAAATTATTTTTAATTATTTTCTTCATTTATTGATATTTATATGCTTCCTGTTTTTAATTGTTATAACTCTTATGTATGATTGATTAGTGCGCAATGATTAATTATTTATATAGACTATTTTGCTAAATAGGGGTAATTGAATCCGTAATTATTCGTTATCTCTATCTTAGTAGCATCTGGCATAATTGGGTTTATGTCAGGGGAACATATGATCTAATTTAAACGAACCCTCGTAGCGTGTTTGTTGGTTAGGATTGGATCTTTCTAATTATTAATGCAATCTATAAATTAAATCCTACGGTCGTACTTATGATTATTTTTGGGTTAGAGAAACAGCTAACGGTCGTACCTTAACTATCAAGAAATTAAGGAAGGGTTGGTTGTTTATCGCGTGCATGACAACTATAACTAATCTATTAATAAATGTTGGAATTATCTGTGAATCGATGATCAGTGCATGAACCATTTCTGAAGTGTACCATTGGCTAGAGTTTCTCCAATTATTTCTTTAAATTAATTATTTTCTGCAATTAATTTATTTTTAGCATTTAATCGTGAAAACCCCCATTTGTCTTGATTCGAAAAGGAATAAATTTCTCTCCAGTCCCTGAGGAGACAACCCTGCTTACCACTGGCTACTAGTTAGTGAACTCAGTTAAATAATTGATTCAGGTATATCGGATTAAGCAAACTCTTCGGTAACAGGGTGAATCAAGTAACCCATTGCATACCTAGAATTTCTGCTCCAGTACTCGAATTGATTATTGACTGTTTTAGGTGGTAGTTAGGTTTTATTTATTATTATTGCACAGATTCGGCACCTGTCAATTTTTGGCGCCGTTGCCGGGGACTGGCGTTTGAAATATTTATTTCTTTTTGAGTTCAGTTTTTTTCTTCTTTTACTTGGTATTTTTGCTAGTTTATGCCCCGTTCTTCTCGCACAGGTGATTTGATATACGATCCTGAGGTTGAGAAGGCAGCGCGTAGGCGAAGGCAAGAGACCAAGAGACGGAAAGCAGGACACTTGTCTACTGCTAACGAGTCAGTAGAAGACGAATTTAGCATGGCCAACACCCAGACATTAAGGGAGCTGGCTGCCCCGGAATTGACTCACCAGCCCTTGTGCATCACATTCCCCACTTTGGCAGAAAATACAACCTTCGAGTTAAAGTCGAGGTTGATTCACCTCTTACCTTCTTTCCATGGTCTCTCTGGCGAGGAACCCCACAAACATGTCAAGGAATTCGAGGTGGTTTGCTCTAGTATGAAACCTCCTGGGGTCACTGAAGAGCAAATTAGACTGAGAGCCTTTCCGTTCTCTCTCAAGGATGCAGCTAAAGATTGGCTATACTACCTACCAACAGGTAGTATTACCACCTGGGCACAGTTGAAAAAGAAATTTTTGGAAAAATTCTTCCCTGCATCCCGGGCTGCGAGTTTAAGGAAGGAGATCTGCAGCATTAAACAGTATCCCGAGGAGTCCTTGTATGATTATTGGGAAAGGTTTAACAAGTTGTGCACTAGATGCCCGCAGCATCAAATTAGTGAACAACTGTTAATCCAATACTTCTATGAAGGGCTCCAATCAATTGATAGGAGTATCATTGACGCTGCGAGTGGGGGAGCACTGGCAAACAAGACACCGAAGGAAGCGTGGGAGCTTATCGAAGCCATGGCAGAGAACTCCCAGCAATTTGGCTTCCGTGAGAGCAACCCTACCCGTAGAGTCAACAAGGTAGAGACTTCATCCGTACAGCAGCAACTGTCAGAGTTGACATATGCTGTTAGGCAATTAGCCATGAGAGACACGCCGCGAGCGAAAGTATGTGGAATCTGTACTAGCATGGACCATTGCATGGACACGTGCCCCATTTTGCAAGAGGACGGGGTAGAACAGGTAAACATGGCCGGAGGCGTGCCCGCGTCCCGTAGGCAGTATGACCCGTACTCCAATACGTACAACCCGGGTTGGAGGGACCATCCCAATCTCAGTTATGAGAACAGGCAACAAAATTCATTCCCGAATCGTCCACCGGGATTCCACCAGCCATGACAAACGAAATCTCAACCCGCGTCCTCCAATTCAGGAAGCTCCCTGGAGGATATTGTCAAAAGCCTGGCCACGACTACTACTCAGCTTCAACAGGAGATCAGATCCTTGACCGCGAATACCGCGCAGCTCCAGCAGGACATCAAAGCGGATAGGAAGGACCAAGATGCTCGAATAAGCCAACTGGCAATTGCCATCAACCGTTTGGAATCCCACGTTTATGGGAACCTGCCATCGC